TCTCTCTGCGTAATCGAGGAAGGTATTGAGTGGCATTAGAAGAGAGTTAGAGGTACAGCGCTGAAACCTGAGGGCTGCTGTAAGGCCAGAATCTGATGATTGATGCTGTCACCTTGCCAAGTTGATGATTCGGTATCTTTCGAAGAATGGTACACATAGTCTCTGTGAGGGTGAGGCACCTGAATTAGAGGAAGGCTCCACGCTGCCGTTGTATCCCACTGTAGTTGCTCGAGTGTAGATTTTGCGATTGTTCAATATCTGTCACCGAACCTAGCCGCGGCAACGCAATCAAACAATCATGTCTGCTTCCGAGCCTTGTAGTCAGGTCAAGACGTCTAAGAATTTGCAACGCTACTATCGATAGAGGGGTAGCTCAGTGGTACAAGTCCATGGCGTTCCAGACCCACAGCCCAGGCAAATCCTTTACTACCCCTGAACGACCCGAATCAACTCAAAATGCTCCAGCTCTCACATCTTATCCCCCAATGCTTCTTCTTCGCATGGCGATGCCGGGAATATAGTATTACCGTCTGCTCAATCCTCCATCAACAACACCTCCAATCCGCATCGGTGGTTTAGTGGTAAAATTAGCCGTTGCCATGCCTCACAGCACAGTTTCGGCTAGCCCCGGGTTCGATTCCCGGCCGATGCATTCCTTTTGCCATCCTGCGCGTCGTTGTGGTGGTGGTCCTAGGGAGGAATATGTCTTTTTGCAGACCTGCGCGGGGTCACGTGCCAGTGGGGTGCCGCCAACGCCGGATGCTCTAAGCGCCTGGCTAACAGCGGGGTAGAATGCAGGAACTCGTCACTTGGAGTCCGCATTTTTGCCCTCTAGTCTAGCTGGAAGCTCGCACGGCAAAGACGCACAGTTCTGAGCGTAGTTATATAGGGCAGATTTCGCGACAGTCTTCTATACTTCCTAAAGAGGAGCCTTGGCGCAATGGTAGCGCGTTGGTTTTCGGCTGAAAACATCAAACACCAAAGGTATGGTTCACCGCGCCTCGAGACACCCACCAGACTCTAACAGACAACAGGTTGTGGGTTCGATCCCCATGGGCTTCGCTTACCTTTTGCTTTTTCCTTCAATCGAGACGCTCCTCAAACATGCTGATGCTCTGTCTGGAGTTGCATGTTTTGTTGTGGCCGTTCTTTTTGCAATCTCCACCATCGACTCTACCTTGTCGCTTCGGGTACTGAACACGAGTCACGGCAAGCAATCAGACATTCCACACACGCTCGTTATAATGCCAAGCAGGCTGTTGATATCTCCATCCTCCCGGTGGCAGAACGCGGGATGACATACGTGCAGCCATTGATCGTCGCGTTTCAGATACATCTTTCCAACCCAGCGACCTGGTCGCGTTGCTGTCAAGGCAATTAAGACAAGCAACTTGACGCACATAAACAAACCTGCCGGGTCTGCAGCGGAAGATCCTTGCGTCATCTTGGGTAAATCAGGGTTCGGGAAATTATGATACCCGTTCTTGTCGATCCGATAACCTTGAATCTGAAACGCGGTGACCAAAGAGTGGATGCGACTCAACGGTGCATGTGGGTTGGCTCCTCAACGACACGGAGGCTGACGTGTCTTCGCAATGATGTCAGATGGGCGATCAGTGAAGAAAGTGAGATTCGACGCTGACGGGGTTGGGATCAGCGCGGAGTTTTGAGTCCTGCGCTTTCCAAGGGCTGTGGAGTATACAGCATTTGCTAGAGTAGACAGATGGTGAGCAGAAGTCCTTTCCCGCCATCGTGCCAAGTTCCCTAGCAATCAGTCATCTTTCCAATGGACAAGCCTGGATCTTCCAGCCACAGATAGGCCAAGATGTAATGCATCCCTGGACCCCGACAGAACCACTATGCGAGAGGCGCCCCAGACCTAACAAAGCTGTTTGAAGCGGTCAGAATACAGCAATATCAGCGCTACCTCCCGTCCTTGGCGGTTGACCAGCAAATCCACACAGCTGCGAACGCTACTACATCAGAGCTTTCGTGCTGAGCACTCTTCGCGTGGGTTGCTTGCAAGGATGGAACATGCCTGTGTGCCAGTGGTGTGTGTTCATCGTCCCAAGAGGTTGTGTGCACCGAGCTGCACAGCTACTACACCGACAACAGGACAGCAGATCCAGTTCCATGGCGCACTGTGCATGGGCATTGGAGATCCCGCAGACAGCGGCTGGACGGCAATCGACGATCGGAAGAAACATCCAAGCGAGACGTTCAAACATCAAGCGCGTTCCAAGTGGCTGTTCTGCTAACAAATGCGCAGACTACATTGCTAGTAAAGGGCTTTACCCTGTGTGACGTTAATCAGAGCAGCCACAAAAGCTTCCTCGTGCGTGCTTGGCCGGTCTAGACAGCGATTGGACGCATGTGGGGTTCCAGACGGGTAGATGAGCCAAAATGCTTGATTGGTTGTTGGTAAGAATTTCTCCCCGAATACTCGTTGGGAGTGCTCTAGGTCGATGGACGCGTGGAGACTAAACACAACGGCTACAATCGCTGGGGTGTATTGAGGTATGAAAGTGTGTTGCGCAGCTGCCGCGGACGCGGAGAAGCGTCGACATTGACATCGTGGCGATTGAGATCTGGACTTGGATACTGGCGGATGGACTGGGTATGATAATACCCCAGAGATGCAGTGGATCAGTCGAGAGCATGGGCAACCAACCAAGCTTTGGTGCCGTCGGGTCGAGAAGTCAGACATGGTGATGTGTTGACACGCACAACGATCGGTTGCAATTGCCTTCCCTGCAGTGTCCAGGATACAGCAGGCAGCTTTTGATCGGCGAGCTGGATTTGCGTCTCAGCATAGGAATAGTAATAGAGCCTTGATCGAGAGGGATGGTTCCTTGCGACGACAATGAAGTACCGCCAATTTGGGACCCTGGTTAGCTCCGCGAGAGTCAATTCTATATGCGTTGTGCTAAAGCCTAGCGCAAATGCTCCGTCTGGACGAGTCTCGGGATTCTCTTACTGCCGAAGAACGCGAGGAAAAAAGATGCACAAGAGGACGTGAAGACGTGTGGGTGAGGGCTGGTAGTGAGCGTAGATGATTCCCGAAGAAGCAGGAGGTTTTCCTCGATCTCTCCACACGAGTCGTTGATTGGTGATGCTGCTCAAAATAGAAGCCGCACTGATCGCGTCTTTCTGATGATCGCGTCACCCTGGCGAGAAAAGCGGGGCACAAAAAGACATGGTGGAACGGAGAAAACCCACCCTCGAACGCCATGAGCTGCGACGCCGCGCACCACTGCCATTTCTGCACAACAGCAGAGACGGGACTGCTAGGCGTGTCTCGAGTGCGGTTGCGCAATTAGAGGAAATGATGTTGTGCCTCGACAATGCACATCAAACAGTTCTCATCTCGCTGAGCCGAGCATCCTCGTCCCGTTCCCCACGGCTTGGGGAACATCGCAATCCGCAAATTTCATCACGGGGATGCGATCCTGCACGAGTCTCGCGGAAGGCCCGACGTGGTGCCGGGACCCTCTGCAATGGTGCCATGCATGCAGTGCCGGGAGCAGGAGAGGTGGGGAGTGGTGGTAGAGCCGTGGCATCACGTAGGCACAGTAGGAGCAGGCACGGCGTAGCAGAGGGACGGGAGACTGGCGTGCAGAGGAGCGGGGTACAGACGTGTCGGTGAAGCATCAACATGGCGAAGGCGGGCTTTGGAGCGTCGTTATCGCAGCCCGCCAGCGACCTAACGAGCCCACCGCTACTCACCAACTGCTGCAAACGGCTGAGCCGCAGGTGCGGTGGGTCGCGCGACGCCGGGCGCGCGCTGCGGATTGGCCGTCGGGGACCCTCGCAGAGGCGAATTCGTAAGTGTTTACCAGATCGCGTCGTATCTGCTCGGCCTAAGCGCAACGCGTCGACGCACCAGCCGCGACAGGAGCTGGAGGGTTTGCAGGCAGCCGTGACGTTGGCCGGGCCTGGTGCAGTGTGCCGTTGCCATGCAGCGAGAAGCTTCCGAACGGCAGGGTGGGAATGTGGCAGGATCAACATGTGGTTAGAGGTGCAAATGGGCCGCCGCGATATTGTTGCTTATATCGGCTGCGCCCGAGCACTATATGACGGGGGCGCGACCAGGGTCAAAGTGAAGCTGGCGAGGTGAGGTGAGGTGACGGACGCTGTCTTCACAACGTCGGGGCGGATGAAGCTCAGCGGCCATCGGCTATGAAGATTTGCGTGAATACGACGAGCGGCAGCTGCCCTGGGCCACGAGCCGCGAGGCCATGAGGCTATTAAGCAGAGGCTCGCGGCATCCAGCGTCGCCCACACGCCTGCGACGGGTTGGCCGCACAGGCAGGCTGGCATAAAGACGCTGCTGCACCTGGCGAGGCAGGGCAACGTGCTTGTTGTCTGGCGTGAGGAAGTTATTGAATCTCCTAGACCTAGCCGCGCCCGTCCGTGCGTGCTCCAGAGACTAGTGCGGCCCCTTTGCCTGACAACCTCAACTCTTCACCGCGACGGCCAACCTTACCCTCCCTCTATTATTTCCTTTTCTGCTTGCTTGTTGAATCGCACGTCGTTGTCAGCAGCAGAAGACCGACTCTCCACGACCGACCAATGCAGGCTTGAACAACTGCTCGGGAGGCTTGGTACACGCTGCCATCTCCGTCGATTCACGACAGCCTTCCCAGCGCTTGACGACGTTACATTCTATTCTCTGTTTTAATACTTTGTCCGTTTTGTTTCATAGCAGGTACACCTCCCCCAGCTGCCCGTCGCCGCCCCAGGAGCCCCGACACAGGCCTGCCTGCCCCCCAATGCCCCGTCCCTAAAGGCCACGCTCTGGTCGCCTGCCTCCCGTCCGCGACCGCGGCCACCATGCCCATCGCTCCACCACCCGCAGCCTTCGCACTCTCAGAGCCCCCTGCTAATGCGCCCGCCCTCCACAGATCTTCCTTTGCCCGTCTCGGTCGCCGCTTCCTGCCGCCGACGAGCCCTCGCCCACCCCCGTCGAGCTCCTGATAGCGCTACCTCGCAGGCCTCCGATGGCTCAGGTACTCACATCAGTCATCCAGACGACAGGACCCATTACAATGCCCTACTCGCCGTCCGATGCCTACAAAAACACGCCCAACCACCCCAACCAACAACAACAGCGGGCCTCGCAGATGCCGCGCAACCAGCAAAATGGAAACTCGGGAGGCACTGGATACAGAGGGACCGCCGCACCCATAGCCCCGTATGCCTTCAACAGCACGCCCCAGCTGCGCCAGGACAACAGGTCTGCCTCGACTCCAGCCCCCCAAACCCTGCAGCAGCCTCCCAGCCACGCCAACCAGACACGACTCGGCCACCCCTCTCACCCCTCCTCATCCTCCGATTCCACAGTCTCCACCTCTGGCTCGTCCAACCGCTCGTCGGCTGGGCCACCCGCAGCTGCCAGAGATGACCGCGACACCAAGAAACCTTACGACTCCGCTGCGCCCTCCATCACGCTATCCACCTCCATACCCGATCTCTCGCTTTCAATAGGCGATACGCCTGCCAAGCCCTCACCAGGACGATACAGGCGAGGCGCTGGACGGACAGACTCGTCCAACAGCATTCCGACCGGTGCCTCTACCCCGACGCAACGCTCTACATCAGGAGGAAACTCCCAGATGGGACCCACGCAGAATGACGGCCCACAGCCATTCAGGCCAGGGCACAACCGAGCGAACAGTGCAGATGATACGCAAGTTATTCGCTCAGGCGGTATAGACCCCGCTAAGCGATATAGAAGACGCAGTTTCAACGGACTGGAAGGAGACAACAACATTACCTCCGCCATGGCATCATTGCAGGTTAGCTCAGGAGCTGGTTCAAGCACGACACCGAGCGCCTCCACCACCACGCCCTCGAATTCGAACCGTGCAGGAAGCCGCCCCGACTCGAGTCACAGTCATGAACGGCAAGGCAGTGCAGGCAGTGCTTCCTCTAACAACTCTTCAAGGTCTCAGGTGAGTAGAGTGACTTCACCAGACTTTCGCAAGCTGACAAGGAATCCAGTCTCGCCCTGTGGTGAACACGCAGCGCAGCTATGCCTCCGTAGCAGCAGGCGGTCCTTCCAAAGCACCTGAGCCTAACAGGCGGCAAGCTCCATCTCCTCTGTCGCACCCGGTCTCCCCATCAGAGCCTGCAAGCCCTGCGAAGGCACCTGTACTACCTAGCACAGCGATGCAACACCTCAACGCTGTGAACGACAAGGACAAGGGAATGAAGTCCCGGCTACGCAGGGCCTTTTCTTTTGGAAGCGCAGCTGAGCTTCGAAAGGCTTCTGCTGAGAATAACATCTCGGCAGAGCGTGCAAGATTGAGGAAAGACAAGTACCAGAACGACGAGGATGCCGAACAAGCGGCGATTATCGCAAAGCAAGAGGCGGCAGGTATTGGCGCTGGCATCTACTCAGGACAGGGTGGCATAGGCTCTACTGACAACCTCTCAATACAGTCAGCCGCGTCGTCTGCATCGGTCATGCTCCGCAAGATGGGTCATGGGATGAAGAAGGGCACAAAATCCATCAAGGGCCTCTTCAGGCCAAAGTCGGTCATTGGAGTCCCTGCCGCCGATGGCCCTATCACTAGACCCAGCGTGGGTCAGGTGTCTCTTGTCACCGTCGAGGCTGAGAGACAAAAGGTCAATGTCAACGCAAACCCTCACGAGCAGATCGGAGGCGGCACTGGCTATCCTAGATTGGAGCGCAATTCGATTGACGCCGGACGGTCCGCAGAGATTGTAAACCCCTCTGCGTTGGGCAACGAGGCTATGTCAAGGAAGAGCATCGTTGGGTCCGATCGCGATCGTGCCGAGGTTCTTTCCTCGATGAAGAAGGGCATCCTAAAACGTACGTGTGCTACGCATTCCTCATATGCAGTTACTGACGAAAAATCAGGCACCGGTACAAACTCAGATTCAGGTTCGCCTGTTCTGAAGCCCGTCGATGCCGTCCCAAATGTGGGCTCATCAAGATCTAGCTCCCCTGCTACGCCAAAAACAGAGGTTGGGCAAGCTCGCAACGATGACTACTTCGGCAAACCACCGCGTATTCCCAACGGCAGCACGAGGAGTCTTCCTACCACACCTCACGGAAGTCTTCGAAACATCAGTTTTAGCCCACGTATCCAATTCCACGATGCATGGTCACCACAGGACTACGATCGTAGAGGCGACATCGCAACGTGTAATAGGCTTACACCGATGCTTGCGCAACAGATCAAGGAGGAACTGAACTCCTTTAAGATGGTATGTACTGCAGCTAGAGTATCGTTACCGGAGCGAAGCTAACCACTCGAACAGGAGATGGAAGTTCACGAGCTCTCGAAACCACACACCCATTTCTTCTAATGATTATGCATCCATCATTTGGACATGGCGTCTTGGCGAATACCTCTCATCGTTGCACTTGCGGATTGGAGCCATCAGCATTTACCAGTTGTCAGCTCTGTTCCATGTTCTGGTTACTACGGACTGTTCTTCCATCTTAGCGAGCATTTGCAATCACGTAGAGGAAGAACGCGTGCTCGCGTGTGGGCTCAGCGGGCGAAGTAATTGTTGGCATCGGACTGCAAAAAAGACGGAGGGAGATCTTTCTAGTTGAAGCCAACCTTTTCCTTGCCCTCATTGTCTCTATTCGTGGTTCAGTCGTATGTTGACGTCCATTTCCTTTACTGTCAGACGTGTCTTTGTCTCTCATTACTTTCCTTGAGTCAGTATCAGTCATGGTTGAGGGGTATCTGCGTTGTCTACATCGGAGAGATACAATATGCGAAAAGGCGAGTCGGACGCACTTGGCTGGCGCAAGAGTCCTTGGTAGTGACTTGTGCTGATTAGCTTGTAATTGGAAAACAATCTTCGGCGCATCTTTGCTCCATGGTGTACGTTGACATCGAATGGGATTTCCCCTATGCACTTCGTCCGCGTGCTGGCGCAGGTCTTCGCGTCCGTGTGGAACATGTATTGATCTACACTGCACTCTACTAATGCGTGATCACGGTCAACCAACCGCGTGCTAAATTTGGTGCACACATCTCTCCGAACCTCGTATGCTCATGCCCTGCAGCGTTGCATTGACGGTCAGACCCCCGCGCATCCATGTCTATTCTGGTAGTTTTCGACAACAATTTCCGAAGCCCCCCAGAAGTTCGCACACAGACATTGTCCTCTTCTATCCGCCACCGACACCTTGATGGTCGTCAAGACCACTTCATCATCTTGTCGCCGTTCAGCAAACCACACCTTCCTGTTCAAGCACATCATTATAATCACGCCGCATTGGTTGCATACATTGGCGGTTCAGGCGCTAGTCTTCCAATTCATTGAAAGCATCGTTTGGGAAGCATGTCCGCCGACTAAGGGAACGCGTGATCCCTCCTCATAATGTGCGACATATGATTCCTGGCAACGGTCTATAAGCGCTAAAAAGATCGGAATCGTAGCGTGCGGCGCCTGGGTGGCGCTGTTAATGGTATCTCTGGAGAACAACGCCCAGGTGCTGCACGTGTCTGTGGTCTGGAGTTCCGTGGTGGACGTGAAACCCAAATTCATACGAATTGACGCACATACTTGAGTAGCAAATAAGAATTGCGTCACACATGCCTTGGACATTATCTCGAGTAGGTCGGACGGTGGAGTGATTGATCACGTGGGGACGTAGCTCGCTTGGTTAGCGCGCCAAGAAAGCGCACCTTCTCCGCCCCCGAGCAAGTCGAAATTGACCTGAGTTCGACCGTCTCTCCTCAGCAACCACACAACAACCGACAAAATGGTACGTCTAATGCGCGGTCGAGATTCCGAAAACGAAGATTGTTGGCGCTGACCGTTAGACAGGCACCTGCAGCAACTGGAGGCAAGAAGCAGAAGAAGAAGTGGTCCAAGGGCAAGGGTACGTGATCCAGCACTGCACACCTTCAGCATAATTATACACCTCGCGAACACGTCGGAAACGCTCGAAAGCCTTATTGATACTCCCGCAACCCTGTTTCACCATCGCGCACTTCAACATGACTCCAGAGTCGATTTGCCACTAACACATAAGCAGTCAAGGACAAGGCCCAGCACGCTGTCGTTCTCGACAAGCAGACCAACGACAAGCTCCAGAAGGATGTCCAGTCCTACCGCCTCATCACCGTTGCCACTCTCGTCGATCGCTTGAAGATCAACGGTTCGCTCGCGCGTCAAGCTCTTAACGACCTTGAGGCCAACGGTCAGATCAAGAAGGTTGTCGGACACTCCAAGCTCAGCATCTACAGTATGTCACCACAAATGCATTTCCAAAGATCCACGTGTTACGAAACCTTGGAATATTTGGAGATCGTATGAGCGTTCACTAACACACTGCAGCACGAGCTGTCGGCGCCGCCGAGTAAGCCTTACGCAACCGACAATTAAACGAACGTAAATGCGAATCTCGGATACCTCTTTCGGCTTTTTAACGGCATTCCTCTTTCCATTACCAATCGGCGTCTTCATGAAATGAACGGGTCATACTACATTGGGATGCATGCTTCATAGCGGACATGAAATGAGAGGAACGGGCTCGGGTACAGCACCTAGGGTCCATTGGAGGTGTCGGTTATGTACTGAATGAAAAGACTTCCGAAACACCACCACCCAACTTGACCTTGCTATTAGAGAAAGCGCTCGTGTGCTAATGTTGAGTCCACACTACAGAGTGTTCATTCGTACCACTGTCCTGGTCTTGGTTTTGTCAATACTTGCAGCCCTCGTGTCCCCTCCCCTTGTTCTGGCTTTTGCAAGCATACTAGCGCTGATGTCTGGCGTCATGTCAATCGCGAATTCCACCGCTTTTACTCTCCAGCTTGAAATTGCCACAGCACTCTGCTCTTTCCCCTAGAGACGTACCGACGACAGGTCTCTGTCTTGCTTACACCTCGTGCTTGCTATGACTGCTCACAAGGATATGTCCGGTCAGAGCGCGAGCACGTATTGATCAACTTGCGGACATGTACCATCGGTCTGTGAAGATGGATTTAATCCATGCCGCGGTTCTTTGATTTAGGCCCGTATACTGTCTGAGGCGGCACGTTCTCCTACTACACACTTCCTATTTCGTCCCGATCTTAGATAATAGTAAGAGTACACGGAGGCGGAGGAATGGGCTCTTGATCTGGACTGGTTGGAAAACTAGAACTCTATCTCATCCAGTGTCAGGCATGCCACGTTCGTTCCTTATACGCTTGTGGAAGTCAGAACCTCTGGTATAGTATAGCTATTCCTTCCTGCTTGCTCTGCGTTTTGGATCACATCATTTCGCTTGTAGTATGGAAGGCTCGATCTCTCAAGTTGCAAGAAGTCACGCCACGGTGTGACTCAAGGATATACCGGTATTTTGTTGGGATAGATTGGCCACATGGGCCCATCAGATGCCCCACAAATTGCGTCGGTTGAGAAGGACATACTTCATTGCAGCATAGCTATATTTACTTGCCGCGCAAGTGAAGGAGAAGATTCGAGTGTGAGAATAGTTATTAGACATGATTTACAGTAGGAAGGCTGGGGACGCGGGCATCAAGTTTGTGCGTATATACAATGGATATACGCCTGGAAGGCCAGGACAGTATGCCGAGGGAAGCTCGACCTATTGTTCATATTTCCGAACCGGCCTGCCCTTTTCGGCCTGCTCGCACAAGCCCCTCTTAGGCATTTTGTCCTGCCATCCAGGTTCCCTCTTGACATAGCCTACCCGCCTATACGGCTTACCCTTGTCTCCACGGAACAACATATGCCAGCCCTCCAGACCGGCAACCATCTGTTTTCTAGCGCTCTTGAGTTCCTGTGCACGCCTGTTCTTCAGTTCTCCCTTGCTCAATGGTTTCCTCTTCCGCGCCTTTTCCATTTCCACTTCTCTTTCTTCCTGTGTCAGACCGGCTTTCTCTTCGGGCTCAACGGGTATGAACATTTCCTCTACGCCGCGTAGATCGGGCACAGTGTCTTCGGCGAAACAACCCGTAAGGAAGGCGCGCGCTGCGTCTTTGCCCGCGAAAAAGTGGTATGAGCCGCCGGGTCCGTAGGTCGTAGGCGAAATGGAAACGTCGTAAATTGTACCGTTTAGAGCGAGGTAGATCGGTTTTGAGGGGTCGCTGCCGTCATATAGAGCCAATTCAGCATCGGTCAGGGTGAGTTCTCCTTGCTACGTGTCATGTTAGCTACGAGAGCTTGTTGGAATGTGTAAGAGAGACTTACCATGAGGCTCTTCCACTCTCGAGCTCTGGTCCACCATGCATTATATCCCCATGTCATGCTTTCTCCACTTGTACTCAGATAGCTCAGCCCGCAACTCAATAGGAGGACGCCACCTAGTATGCGCAGTATGTCCAGCACGGATAAGCCATTTGACGTCGCAGCGGCTTGCTCCTTGACGGCTTTCTTAAGCTCTGCTTTCTCTTGAGCGCCCGAGGAGGTCGGAGGAATAGAAGACGTGGTCGTGTCTGTGGGCTCCTCTTTCGCAGCACGGCGGTATCGCTGTGATGAGGACATTATGGCGGTGGTAGTGACGGTAATGCGTTCAGATGCACTGCTTTATTTGCGTGGTCAGTCTACATATAGCGAGAGTTGCTCGGAGACGTTCATACCTGTTCATCCAACAGTCGCAGCTCAAAGTGTGGTACTCCCGCGTCAACGTCACTCAGATACCGAGGCACAACCCTAACTAGCCGCCGAAGAAAGTATTCGGAGACGTGTCCGCAAGCCAGGAACCGTCGGATGCGCGATGCGGAGAATAGATTGCTTTCGCCTGCGCGTTCCGAGGTGCTGCTGTCGGGAAGTACCACAATCTCGGTTCCGATGATTGGCCACTTTCAGACTGATGTCATTGGCGATCTTGGCCAAGACGCTACTACTGGACTATCACTTTTGGACAACTTGCAATGGATGAGATCGGCATGAAAGACTTGGAATCGCATAACTCGTAGAGTCAATATGCAAATTTCTGTAACCTGGCTACTGTACGATATCGCAGGTGTCATGCGAATGTTTCACTTTTGTAGTAATACAACCCTCCTTTCGTATGTGTATATACAACGTCCATCTTCCATCTTCTCTCCACTAGTTGTGTGATTTGCATGATGTAGAGATCGTGGCGTTTCCCGCTTCTTAAGGTATTAAATCGTTCAGTGGTCTTTCCTCATTTAATGAGCATCACCCCAATCACTCATTCAGCGCCGTCGTGAATATCGCGGATCTCGACTTGCGCTTCTCTGTCGCTCTTGGGGAAGACCTTTTTGAGTCCTGCTTGGAAGACGCCGACGTTGTAGTCGATGATGGCTTTCTTTTCCGCTGGATTATCCTGACCCATGATACATACTAGAGCGAGATACCTGTATCCATCGTTAGTACACTCACGATTCCATAACCATGCAGGTAGTCTGCTTACTTGTTAATTTCCCGCAAGTAGAGATATCTGCTGTTCTTCTTCTCCATGGTGATTAGACTCTCGGCATCGTTGTTACCAGTCTCACTCTCATCCTCGCCCTCATCGGGTCGATCCCAGCCATAGATCTCACTAACATCGATGACTACATCAATGTAGTCGGAGCATATCTCATAGCTGCCAATATCGGTCGGGCTTGTATCTGTTGCGATGTAGATCTTGCTCATGATGTCGAAGAGGTAGGCTTTCTCGATGTTACAGGCACCACACAAGTTGTTGAGCAGCGCTTCGAGGGTGGGAAGCTGTGGGATGAGCTTCTGGATCACCTTGCTAAAGGCTTCAAAGATGGAATGGTCGTAGATGGAAGTCTGGTAGAAAGATATGGGCGCCTGCTCATAGCCGTGATCCGATAGTTCGTCTTGCACGCGCTGAATGATGTCGCGGAAAGTGTCACCGCGGAAGTCATCTGAAAGACCGTCGACCTTGTGCACGAAGACTTCCACGTTGATGTTGGGGTATGATTGCTGAAGGTTGAGGATGGTCATGTTCAGTCGCGCAATTGCATCGAGATACTCATCTTGGGCATCGATAACCCATATCAGAGCTCCAATCTCCTCGAAGATGTTGTCGGTATCGAAAGCTGGATCGAAGTAGTCCAGATGACCTGGCAGATCCCAGACTTGAAAGTCCATGAACGAGCTAGCGTTATTAGTCAGCCATGTATGCGTACACTTGGTGATTAACGTACTGCATGGACTCTTTCTTTATCCTGTACGTCGTTTCGAGGTACAGCGTCTCACTTGGCGGCAGCTTGTGAAAGACGACACTTGATATCGAAGACTTGCCGCTCCTGCAGATGGATTTGTTAGCGCGCTCAACACGCTGACCTTGACGGATCTCACCTTCTCTGGCCCATGAGCAGCAACCGCGGCTTGCCATCTCCCGCCTTGCTATTGGGGACGCGACCAGTGTGATACTGCGGCGCAAAGTCAACAGGTGGCTGCTCTGCGTTTGATAGATCCTGCAGAAAACGGTCCATGGTCAATTGAGCACTTGGTCTGAGTAAAGATGAGCTAGCGGATGTCCGCCTCTCCTCAGCGCCATCGTCTCGAACAATGTCGCGAGCAGCATCGAAGGTTGCTGAAGGGCGGTGTGAAAGAAAGCGGCTCTCCATGGTGGTGCTTAGTGGTACAGGGTATATCGCTAAGAGCAGAAGTCGCAGAACTAAGAGAAAATTGGGTATCGTGGGTGAAGAAAGCGCCGCGCCGAGAAAAGACAGAAAACAGAGAGCCGGCCCTTCCTATCGCCCTTCAGCTGGCAGGCATCTGCGCAGTGAAGCGTGCTACTCTCGTGGGGAAGTGACAGGCACGCTGCGACAACGTGTGGTACGAGACCAGCAGGGAGAGGCCACGAGGACGGGCGGTACATGCAAAGGAGAGGTGGCAGAGAAGCGACGAGTCAATCAGGAGCCCCCGTGATGTTCTACAACAACAGTCGGTGATGCGCGCAAGGCAGTCGACACCGAGCGGAAGGCACCCAGGGAGCTCAGGCCATGGTGCAGACGTACATAGGGCTGAGGAAGTCGCGACGCAACCGCCGGGGCTTTGCCAGTAATCTAGCTAGATAGGGAAGACGACGATACACGTGGGGAAAGCAAAGGAGTAAAAGAAGGAATCTGGGCTTACCTCCATGGTTGTTCAGTGGTAGTGTAGCGTCTTTGCGTTGCGCACGGTGGTGATGGTCTTTAGGCCCGAGCCTGCCACTGCCCCAGAACCGCTGTCCTTGCTGATGAGCCGACGCCCAACCCGAATCACGCCTTCAGCCAAACGCTCGGGAGTACTACAACTCTTCCAGGAGTGCTTGGATTGCCCTCTGACAGGATGCCCGCCCTGCAATTTCACTGCTCGCAACCACTCTCTGTTGGCAGCCAGCAGCCGAAGAAGCCGGGTCGGCAAGGATGGCTCTCCGCGCGCGCCCAGTCGTCGGGCACCAGAGCGTCACTGTAACACGTTTCGAGGCCGGGTCGGAGACAAGTCAGTGCTGCTGATAAATAGCCGCAGTGGCACGACGCTGAAGCATCTGGAACCGTCGTAGAAGACGGAGAGTGTCATTGTGAGGAGGCGGTTGGTCGCGTGCAGGCCACGTTCGCTTACGGTAACAAGGGAAGATCTTCAGGCACCACCATTCTGTCCTCGTCCCAGCTCTCCAACACCAGCCCAACTTCGATGAAGAGCGAACGCCTTGGTATTTTGTGGCTTGGGACAGTTACCCGATTAGTGTTGTGCCGAAGTCAACCTCCGTCAGCCCAACCTTACCTGAGTCAAGCTGACGATATCAACGCCGCATGGGGGACAAGGATTTGTTATCCGCGGCAGCAAGGTTACACAGCGTAGCAGAGACTATTTCCGAACGTCATTGATACAGCGCTGTGTGCCCCTTTACTGTCAGATGGACGTCGCACACGTGTAGGAGTCCAGTCAGTAGGACATGTCAACATGCGCGTTATCGTCACTCTGCTCGTCAACTTGATGACTTCGCACAAAATGTACATTATATCCCTGCAAACACTGTATTCCAAAAAAGCAATATCAAAACGACCCGACGCTCCGGCGCACCCGGGGTATCCAAAATCAAAAGCCAAAGCCGCTATTCCCATCCATCCTTGTTCCCGTACACCAAAGGCCCTGTACGCCTACCCTAAACAGCTCATAGATTGCGTACTCTTCAGGTTTCCAATAAGAAAATAATTCCCGTTCGTTACTCGGGCGATCTGAAGTACAATACACTCAACCGCCTCAGTCTCGCGGTCCTGTCACCTCGGCACCCAGCGTACCCGCAGCTAATTGACCCAGTCCACCGAAGAAGACAAGAAACATAGCTAGTGCAGTCGACTCTCCCGCGTGAACTAGATCGCCCTCAGGCGCGGAGCCGTCTGACTCCATTCCCTGTATAGCGCGCTTGGTCTGCTCTGTTGGTTGGTATGTAGCATCAGGGTCACCAGCAAATGAGCCTGCGTCAGAATCCACATCTGAAGTGCGCGCTTTCCCTCGTGTGCTGCGTCTGAGAGACGCACTCGTGGATGCGGAAGTGGATGTACCATTTACGTCAGCCTTCTTTGCCGGGCGCCCAGGCTTCCTCGGCGTAAGAGGCTCTATTGGGGACGAGGGCTCGCTCGCATGCTCCATCACTCTTGCCAGGTCTTGCTTGAATGTGACGTGCTTCTCATGGGTGGGAACGAGAAAAGAAAGTATGCTGCTTTCTAGGATCGCATGCACATCTAGATCGCGCGTGAAAGTCCACGTCAGCAAGCTGATGGCAGCAAAGAGGACGTCGAGGCTGGTGACACTGATAGCCGGGTGCATGCTGATGTGCTTGAGAGCTTGGCCCGCGTTGCTGATACTTGCGAGAAGCCTGTTTGCATTCGCCGAATCGCTCTTAGCAATAGAATTCGCGAAGAGATCCCAAACGTGGGAGCGCTGGGCAGGTCTGTTGACGTACACCAGAGTAGTCCACACACGCCAGTATACGAGGATAGAGGCAATTGATAGCGCGTGGAAGACTTTGACGTATGATCTATGAGCCGCTGCTTTAGACGTATGCTGATGACCCAGTGCGTAGGGAACCAACTGTGGCGCAAATGCAAAGGCAAGTGGCATGGCCAGGTATCCGAGTCGCATCATGCTCTTGTCGCCGAACTCGGAGACTAGTTGTGGAAAGAGATTCAGAGTAATGAGCGACGCAACGATGCCAGTGTCGTATACGAAAGCATATGGTGTGAACAGCGCGTCGTGTAACGGGGTATCATCGTGGTGTATGGTCAAAGGCGTATACAAGATGGTGATGAAGAACAAGCTCAAAGAGTACCCTAAGCTTCCAATAGCTCAGTAGTACGAACGACGCAATGGTTGTGTTGGAAAGATTGCGCCTGCGGCCTAAAGATGACCAGTCAGTGAGGGACTTGGAGAACCTGCGTCGATCGCATTGCACATACCTTCAGCGCCCATGAATATGGAGCTTGCGATCAGTCCAACGAAATACTGGCTAGTATACAGAAACCCCTCCGGTTTCATTATTCCAACTTTGTCAAACTCGCGCACGAGATCGATGTCCGCGATCCAGTCGGCTAGATACCATCTCCCTTCCTCGCCAGTGCCATACCAGCCACTCCAGAGACTACCTGGAATGTCATGTGTATTCTCTCCAGCCCATCGCACGTAGGAGATAGCGCGCCAGAGGAAGGCAAAGCTGCCGACGGAGAGTAGTGAGAGAAGCGCAATGATGGAGAAGGTGACGGCATGGCGGCGGCGAGCCGAGTCTTGTGAGCGCGTGCGCGTTGATGGTGGCTGAGATTTGGCGGCGCGTCGAGTAGTGAGAAGTACACGAGCTGTGAGGACTGTAACGAGGAGCACTTGGCCGCCGAAGATAGCGATGGGGAGTGAGTTGCTGCGCGTAGATGCGACTGTATCGACTGGCGCCATGATGTTGGCTGGGGTGATGCGATCAGTGATAGAACCAAATGCGCATTACGCGACAGCGACAGTGAGGTTGAGGAGACAGAAGCAAGCCAGCCCAGCTGGAGGCATGGCTCGCTTGTTTTGATCTGGAACGCGCCTGCCTCCCCGCCCACGTCACTGACGTATGAACTTCCAGATGTCTGGAGCTCGCCCTTGCGCCACGCTAGACCCCATTGGCCTTGGCCGTCGATCTGGCGCATCTTCGTTTTGGCTTGCGCGACGCGATCCCAGGCCTCCGACTCAATACCCACTTTACCATGCCACACACTTATGGCGACGAAGACCTCGAGAACGTCGACGAGAAGTACCACGAGTCGTCCGATGAGGACTTCAACCCCGAAGCCGCGCCTCCCGAAGAGGCATCCAGTTCCGAAGACGAAGACCATGTCACGATAGAACCCACACAGCGCAAGGGCAAGCGGAAAGCGCCCGCCGACGAAGACCTTGATTCTGGAGACGAAGTGACAATACAAGCTGCGCGGAAGAAGCGGGCGAAGAAGAAGGGGAAGAAAGGCGGCAACGATGATGCAGACGAGCTGATCATATCAGATGATGAAGGCGGGGAGGGTGGACTTGTCAAAACACGGGCGCAACGGAGGATTGAGGGAAAAGAACGGAGACCGCTTGCAAGGACCGAGGGCGCAACTGTAGATGTCGATGCGCTATGGGCCCAAATGACAGCAGCGCCTCTGAAGCCTTTGGATTCCACAGCATCACATGAATCAGCTGCACAACAAAATCACGTGCCCGTAGCCAACATCCCAGTATCAGCGGAAGAGGAAGAACAGCTCATGATCAAGAAAGTCTTCACCTTCGCTGGGCAGGACACGACCGAGGAGAAGCAAGTTCCACGCTCGCAGCTCGACAAATACCTCAAAGATGGATGGAAGACACTCGATGCGTCCGCAGCAACAATACCCACGACAGAGTCCCCCAAAGATCCCTCCGAGTCTAGTGGACCCAAGATCCGTCGCCCCCTCCGCCGTCCATCCCGATTCGACCCCAACCCTACAGGCTACGTCCGCGCCCTCGCACCCGAACACCAACTTTTCTGGCCCCGTGCCGCCGCTGCCGATCTACAACGCGAGCAAGAAATTCCGCCAGAAACAGACATATCGGTCGCGAAGAAGGTCGAGAAGGCGCAGAAGCTCAATGTCGTGGACAAATCGCGCATGGACTGGACAGGCTTCGTGGACAAAGAGGGCATCGCAGAGGAATTGGATACACATGGAAAGACCAAGGAAGCCTATCTGGGTCGTATGGAGTTTTTGGCTGGTGTGGAAGCGCGGAGAGAAGAAGAGAGGAGGAATCTGAAGATCAAGGCTGCAGCAGCTGCTCCTACGATGGGGTGAGCCGTGTGCTAAAGATGTACTGGAGAGTCGTGGATGTTTTTAAAGATACCCAATTATTGCTCAAAGCGACAAGCACTGGTTGATGCGTGCGCTTCTGCATATTCATCACGTGTAGGTCTATATCATTTAGAGCTATGCATATGACGATCGAGTAGAAGAGTATAAAAAGCACCGAATTGTGAGCAAGGAGCGAAATCACAATGAACTGGCTTGGAGCTACGATCATCGGAAGAGAGACAAATGAGTGACATGGAGCAGACCCCGAATTATACCTCCACTTCCATCTTCTAACCCCCTCTATACATCTCTTCAGACTCTCAACCGGAATGTCTTCATTTTCCTTCCTTCTTCGTCCTCCTCCTCCTAATACTACGTTTGTGCCACCATCTAAAAAGATGTGGCTATGAATGGCTCAGTGAGACTCTTGGACTGACTCCAGAGACGTTGATTTGTACATGGTATTGCAACGGCAACCATGGATGGTGCAATGATGTTTCGAGTACCCAATGAGTAAATACAGTGGATCGAACACTGGTGGAAAGATCAAGACCCTGTCGAAATGATTGTATAAGCGCTCCTGAACACCCAAATAACTGTAATGATCCTGCGCGAATAATGTGTGTATGGTGCCAAAGTGAGAGGTAGCCGATACGTGAAAGCGTCGTAAGATAAACACCGTTTCCGTACGACCTGGAGGCAACTACAAGGTGAGCTCCTCGAGCGCGGTCTGAAAGTCGTCTTCCTCTTCCTCTTCGTACTGGACCTGTGCCTTGATTGGTTTTGGCTTCATGTTCATGCGTATAGACGAGACTATAGCTCTGGATTTCTCAGAGCTGTTGGCCTTGAGACTCACAAGCTCTCGTCCTGCCATTTTCAGAACGAAACTGGATTTCTCCGGCCTCTTGAATTGTGCATATAATGCAGATGCTTTGATGGTGTCCCACATGCATGAACCAGGCGTAAGGTAGTCATCAAGCAGAGGCCGGATATCAGTGTCGTCCGGGTATTCGGGCTGTATAGCCTGGAACTTCTGGTAGCAGTTGTTTACAACAGCGTTTAGCCGCTCCGTCGTGCTCACATCACCATGCCAGCCGGAATTCCAAGTACAATTGACGTCGTCCAGCTTTCTTGTCAGAGAGAGGATTTCTTGCTTAATAGTCTCCGATCCCTTCTTGGCGAGGTGATCGATTGGATACAAAAGCGCGTCGTCTAGCTCAATAGCTTCCGAGAGAACGGACCTGACTCGACTCATTGTCTCGATGTTGTGTGCTCTTACGATGTCGAAGTAGAGGTAATCGACTATATGGTTGGATCGAACTCGCCGATCTGCTTTACGGATTTTCTCAACACCTGCTGAGTCCCCCTTGCTGGCGCACTTTTTCATCTCTTCCTTATATCGCGGCTGTCTTGGTTTCAAGTTGGCTACATACTTATCAAACTTCGTCTGCGTAAATACGTAGCCCTGTTTAGACGCATCGACTAGCAAGTCATGCATATCGTACAGTCGTTCAAGTATCTGAGAATGAATGCGGTTTTCGGTGTATGCTTGTTTCTCTGCGAAAGTGGTGACTAGACCAAGCAGCGATGAGTTGTTACGAAACTCGAAAGCTTTACTGAGGAAGTTGTCCACTTGTTCAGGTTCGCTGGTGTTCATGATATCTTCGAGCTTCTCAGTCCGTGTCTCTATGCCGTATTTCGCAGGCTTGGGTGTAGTCATTGGCGCTGGAGCGTTCAGAAAAGGGCGCACAAGTTTAGGTTCCCAACAAATCCAAAACATATCACCATCGTAATCGCCGCCTTGTAGCTTCCCAGCTAGTGGGAACCGGCCTTTGCAAGGAAAGACCACTACGTCGACCAGATGCGACAGTTCAGGTCGTATGACCGTGCGGACTTTTTGGATATCCGAGCGGCGACAGGCAGGCTGACGAGTGACGAGAGCTTCCATGTCCCTAAGGCAGAGGTACTTTTCATCGGTATCCTCGTCGACAAATGAGGAAGAGAACTGTACTTGAATCTCTCCTGGTTCTAAGACTCCAAAAGGATCTGCTATTCCATAAAAGTACGCGGACTTTGCGAGAGGCACACGTAGCTTGGATTCTTGGAAGACATGCTTTGTCTGGATAAAGCGTTCGAGACTTCTGGCAAGGTAGGGAAACTTGGTAGGTACGAAGCCCGCCTCGAGCAAGAACTTCAACTTTTCCTCTAAGGATACCGGCAGTGCAGCTTGCCAGTCAGGTTCAGCCTGAGTCTTCGTACCGTTCTGATGAACCCATTCGTAGACCTTGACTGGATCTGGTAGTAAATGTAGCAGCTTCTCGCGTTCGCTTTCGAGTCGCTCTTCCATGAGACTAGCAATAACTTCTTTCTTCACGCCTCGATCGGCCAGAATGGGTATATACAATATATGCAATTCCGACTGTGAAGGCGGAGAACTGAAGTTGGAGACCTCAAACGTTCGATGATGATGCATTAAATCGTCGGCGGGTGGATGAAACTTCCACTGACTCCTGTTGATCTTGATCCAGTGCTTGAGATGCTCCGGATCTTTGGTGTAGGATTCCGCGCTAATCATCCAAAGTCCCTTGGCTCCGCCAATGCGTCCCTGGAATGTACTGGGCAAAGGTCCCTTCATCCCGGTTGTTTTCTTGTATAGCTGCCATATGGCTAATGCAGCGCCAACGGAGATAACTGAGCATCCATCGTTCATGACCGAGCCATCCGGAATCGCCTGCCACTCTAAGTCCGAGTCATTGTACATAGTGTCCTCCGGATCGTTTGTGGCCAAGTCGTCATCCACGTGGATGATTTGTGACGTCTCAAAGCACAACGTAGGGGTGGTTCGAGAAAGCCCCAGTTCAATACGAGCGAAGGCTTTGCAAAAGCTTTGGTGTCTGTTGATGTGGAATGGTAGGAATCGATCGAGCATTTGGCCCACTGAATAGGGTTGCTCAATTCCACATCCTTCGGTGGCGAACAGCACGATTCTTTTGTCATAGACCATGTCCTTGGGTCGAGCGGTCTTGGGCTTCTTCACATCTTCAACATGGAAGACTCTCCACTTGCGGTTCAAGAAGTGGTGTTCTGTGAGTAGCCACGCTTGAAATTGATTGCAAATTTGTTGAAGCCGCTCACCCGTGAAACGATTTGTTTCGGAGAAGTCGAAGACTGGCGTGTATAAGTAGAGAAATCGGTCGGAGCCAAACATTCGCTCTAGTCGGCATGATCGATCCGATTGTACCGGTAACAATGTAAGGTTTAGAATCGGGCCAGTGCGTTTGGGGCTGAGATTGATGTGTCCTCTGAAAGTGAACCCATCAAAGTCGCGTTTCGCAGCTTGCCAGAGACGGTTTGACTCCCGCAGCTTCATACGCGGTATTTTCCGATGTTCGTCAATGAAAGACCAAAACGCCTCTGCATCGGAAGATACAGTAGCGATATCCATACCGCTTACCAGGTCCAAGATTGAGATTGAGTGGTCTATCGCTAGACGTTCGCAGATGAACAAGATATGGTATGGGATATGTTCTAGCCCTGGTGGGAGCGCGTCCACGAAGAGATTTTGGGTAGGTAGATCGCGAATCTCGTGTGGTATCTTCGAGGGAGATTGCACAG